AGTTCAAGTTATCGCAATCTCAGGTAAATCAGGTTTTCGCAGGCAAGGGTTAATTAGGTTAACCTGAGCTTGTGTTGAACAGAGCTTTTTAAGAATATCTTGCGTTAGTAATGCTCGGCGTGGTGCACTGAACAGCTCTTTTTGTAAAGCTATCTGGTAGAATACAAAAAAAAACTTCTAAATGCAATTAAATCTTCGTTTAAGGTTAACAATATACATCTTCATTTTTATTTTAATACCAGTAAAGTAAGAGAAAAAAATACTTCGTTACGCTCAGCTTGATTAACAAAGTTTCGCGAAAAAATTGTCATTTTATTGGCTAAAATAATTATAGAAAGTATAAATAAGTGATTTTAAAATACACTAGTAAAAGATAGATGCAAAACCCGAGAACCAGTAAATAGATCCAAACTGAAATTACCGGAGTAATAAAATTTGGAAAATGATTTTTAATCGGGAAATTATTGGTCAAGTTCAGGTATTAATCCTCCCCTCATTGACATAACACGGCCAATAAAAGAAACATCGAAAAACTACGACTCTATCAAAACTTTAAACTCACTTGTATTCGCTTTATGCACATACTACGCTTAAATGATCCCAAGACATTTCTATATTTTCCGAATAATAAAGTTCAGAAGCAGAGTTGGTGTAGTCGGCTTACGCGGCGAGTCCATCCATAAATACACATACATAGAGCGCAGCTGTAAGTGAGCGAAGAATAGAATAGAGACGAAGTAAAACAAGAACAATAAGAGATGCAAGAGTGCCAATTCGTGTTCTCCGAAATTCTCCGTGACGGTTGTGCAAGGATTAAACGACTGAAAAGGGCCGAGTGTATTTGGATTAAATTGTGAAATTCATGCGAAAAGTTCAACGCAAGAGCGATCGAGACTTTGAGCGCGCGGCCCAGACAAATGTAATAAGAATCGAGGCTTTGTGAAATACGATAGGGCTCTTGCCGCTCCGACTATTTCAAGAGGCTCAGACGCGAGTAGCTGTTGCAGCTTTGGATTATGAATTTTTCTACCTTATTAATTTTTTTGTAATTTCAATATAATGTATACAAGAATTTTTTAATTTGAAATGCACCACTATGTGCAGAGTTATTCGAACGCAGCATTGTGTGCATTTTAAAGTTAGTCAATATGAGTGCTAACTTTATCGATTGTTATAAAGTATCTAATAAAGCTTGCAATTCACGTAACAATAAATAACATAAAAGTTTTGAAATTGTTGAAATATTGTTGTAAAACTAGGCCGTAAAATTGAGCAAAGGTTTTACAGCGGGAGCAGTTGTGTGACGCGAGTGATTCTGCCATTCGGAATTTATACAACTATATAATATTTACAACTGATCCACCGGAAAAAAAAGGTCGCGCAGATTTCGAGCGACGATCCGATACTAGCGCATTTTTTCCGCTTTCGAATAAAATATCTCTCTCTGCTGCTGTGTTGCGAGAGCTCTACGAAGCTCGGTCGAAATAAAATAAATAACAAAAGCCATTTTTTTACTCCGTGGACTGTTCCTAGAGCTCTTTGCTCAGGCGTGTAAAAAAAATGAATGGAAAAAAAATAATAAATAAAGAAAAATTTGTTATTGCAGCTTTACGATGAGGTGGAAATGACTGCCGGCCCGTAATAATTGGATATCGATTGACGCTGTATAAATTCTGCGTGTTGGCACGCGCGCGCGCTTGCATCCTTGTATATCTGTAAAAAGTGTAATGGAATCAATAAAAACGAAGACTTAGCAGTTAAAAAATGGGATCGTTGGATTTAAAAAGAACCTCCGCAATAATTAATTTTAACAAAAAGTCTGGTACAGTACGACGATCGATTCCTATACGTCATTTTGATTACAAACCAATTTATATGATTAATTGCGATCTCTCGTGTTTACAATACGCAGAATGTAATATTTAACTAATGTCAATAGACGTAATGCGCAAACAGCGGTATATACGCGCGCTGCGGAAATAAATTTAGAAAATATAATTAAAAGATTACATTGGGTCAATTTCCGTTTATAGGAAGAAGCTCGAAGGAAAATATACTCGTTGTGTTACGCTGGGGACACGGAATGTGTGTATAAATCGCTCGATGTTTGTGTATACATACACGAGGTATATACGGACGTCAAACGTCATATTAAACTGGGCGTCGCGTAGTCGCGACTGATGCGACTTTCGTGTTCGCTTGATTGTACAAACACACGCACACGTTATATATGCACGCTGGGCGCACACCCAGATACGTCCATCGAGTCATGCGAGGCGTGCGGGGCAGTGCAGGACGTCGGGTCAGCAGCTCTCCCGGCTCATTCGATTCGACGCCCTCCCGCACTGCCGCCGCCGCCACCACTGCAACTGCGCCTCGACACATCACGTCCGTATAATGTCATATATACCTGCCCCCGGTGCGCCGAGCAATTATGACAAAGAGGAGCCGCCGAAGCTGCATCATTACGTCCGCCGAGTCTGATGTCATGGTCGAGGAGCCGGCATATCTTTCGCAACATCTAAACACACGTTCCACGTGTATTATCACTGCCTCGGCCGAGGGACTCTATACACTGCTCGCTGTATAAACATCATTAGCGTTGCTAGCCCTTTTTTCTCTCTTCTTTGTCCCGTACCGGCGTTGTCCAATAAGGCTATATCAGGGCTTTCGATATCATTATTTCTTTTTTTCAATCTATGATTTAATTACTATCTTTATAAGATTTTTTTTTTAATAAAAAAGCATGTGTAGGGGCTCGTGTCGGCATATATAGCTCTTTTTACGAGTGCAAGCGTGATTACTGCAACAAAAAAATAAAAAAGCGAATCACTGTATAACAGCGCTTTGAACTTTTATGTGACGAGGGTAGTTATTTCTTATTTTATGTCGTTGTCGAGAAAGAAAGAGAGAGAAGAAAAAGATGTAATTAATTTCATTACTCAAACGCAATAACTGCGTCGTATTGAAAAAAATTGCTGTGATTCAGCGCGCCGTACATAAAAAAGATTAGAAAAATCGAAAATTGCACCTACAATCCAAGGATAAAATTGTCAAGCTCGAGTCAAATTGAGATGGTTAAAAAAAACAAGCAAAATCTTCTGGTCCCGATTCGTATATATAGTGTCGGAACTATCATCATCGTTATTATTATATATGCAGGGAACTGTAGGTACTATATTATGTCGTTGCAGAGCTGAAAACATCAATTATGAGCTGTGGCAATTAGCGGCTCTAATAACGGTATCGCAGTCGGTGTCTCGGTGCCTTGCCCTCTCGTCGTCATCGTCGTCTTCGTCGCACACATATATAGCTATACTTTGGGAAAAACACAAAAAGACCAAGTCGCCGTGGAGTATAATATAACGGGGCGCGGAAAAGGAGCGAGAAGTAACTGTCAGGCGCGTTAATGGGTTACACTTATATAGAGGACGTCCACCCGCAAGTTTTTAATTACTTCTACGTGACTGGCATCTCGTCGTCAAAGTGAAGTGAGCGAGAGAGTGTGTAACGATGGAAAGCTGATGAAGGAAGCTGGCGAGAGTAAGAGCGCGTCTAACAGCAGCTTTTAGATACCTCCTCCCCTCTGTATCCGCGCGCTCAGTATTGCTCGGTAATCACTTGTTTGCTCGAATTAAAAAAGCCCTTTTGCCATAGGGAAACAAATGCCGCGCACTACTACACCATCTTCCTTGTAGGCTTGCCTTGCTTGCTTGCTTGCGCGAGCGCGAGTAATTATCAACTTGGCTCCGCAAGACCTTTCCTGTAATTAAAGCTCGGAGCGGCCGCGTCGATGCCTGCCTGACTGCCTGTGTCGTCGTCGCCGTCGTCGTCGTCCTAGTCCGCACGTGACGAGGCACTCCCGACTGCGATAATGCACCGCTATATATGTATTATATATATCAACGCGCGCTAACTGCAAAACTTTGCGATAACAAAGTCCTATGACTCGAGTCACGCATCGCTATTATTATATATGTAGCGCTATAGCTGCCTTATACTTTTCTTTCGCTTCTTTGTGAGCCCGAAGAAACTCGGCTGTGCCGCGCGTATAACAATGCTGACATTGAATTCTTTTTCCCAAGTGTTATTGTACCGATGATTGAAATAGCGTAGGAGATCTCTCGTTTCGTGCCAATGCGCGGGGAGATCGCTTCGCAATTGCTCGACACCCCCTTTACACACGTCGAAAGTACTAAACTAAAAAGCTCGCACGTTTATATCACGAGCACACTCACACGCAAGACATATCTAATGATCGACGGAGCGTCATATCGAGCGTGAGACCAAGGCGAGCGCAGGAAATATCAAAGCCCAACACAGCGTTGCACACGCTACGCGAAGAAGATAGTTCTGCGACGACGCCGCCGAAAGTCCACACTACTCGGGGTGGGCACTCGAGCGAGTCCGATAAGTACTATATGACTTTGCGCGCGCTTTGCTACGAGCCCGGAGCCCCGAGTTCTGAAGATGGCAGAGAGAAGAGCTAGTAGCTAGCTAGCCTCGCGCACGTAAACTTTGACGAGCTTGAACAACCCCTTGAACGACTCCGAAGCTCCCGATAATCCCCACGTGCAGTTCGAGCTGCTGCTCTCTCTCTATACGCTCCGTGAACTCGAACTCACTTTGATACGAGCTTGCCAGGCTTTTTTCGTCGTCTCTCCCTCTGCTACCTTTTCTATACGGTGGCGTATGGTATATATGCACGTGGCGGCCCTGTGAGAGCTGCCGCTACCCGTGAGCGTGCGCGTCCTCCCGTAATGCTCTCGAGAAAACGTCGCGTAGCTTCTTCCAACGTGTCCCATTTGTACTTTAACTTCTTTTTTTATGCTATAATAATATACCGAAAAGTTTTCTTTATATTATGACGCTGCCGCCTCGCCCGACAGCCGCTTCATTTTCAATTTCTAAAACTTTTTTACGATTTTTGTATAAAATCTTTCGCGCTTAAAAGCTCGTTCTTTCATAAAATTGATATCGTTTTTCTTCTCTCGCAACAGGACACCAGTGGCTGAAGACGAATCTGGACGTGACGCCGGAGTACGGCTGGTCCGTGGACGTGTTCGGCCACGGCAGCACCGTGCCCTACCTGCTCAAGGCCTCGGGCGTCGGCGGAACGGTCATCCAGCGTCTGCACTACGCCTGGAAGCAGTGGTTCGCCAAGAAGCAGTACGGCGACTTCGTCTGGGTCCAGCCGTGGGATCAGAACGGGGTCGCCGATCTGCTGACCCACAATCAGCCCTTCGACATCTACAACATCAAGCACTCGTGCGGCCCGCATCCGCACGTCTGTCTCAATTACGACTTCCGCAAGATACGCAACGAGTATACCGAGTACTCGGTCAAGGCCGTGGACATCTCGTCGAGCAACGTCAAGGCCTTGGCCGAGCAGCTGCTCGAGCAGTACTTCAAGACTGGCTCGCTCTTTCCGCACAACGTCGTGCTCATTCCTCTGGGCGATGATTTCAGGTAATGTATTTTACATAAAGTGTGTTGTGGCTTGAAAAGAGAATCACAATTATTGAGCAACTTTACTCGTGTCACAGGTACGATCATCCGGTTGAATGGGATCAGCAATACACGAACTACAAGATCCTCATCGACTTCATCAACAACCGCAAGGAGGAGTACAACGCCGAGGTGGTGTTCGGCACGGTGCGCGACTACTTTCAGGAGATCGAGAAGCGCATGGCCCGCTTCCCCACGCTCAAGGGCGACTTCTTCGTCTACTCGGACATCTTCAGCGAAGGCCGACCGGCCTACTGGAGCGGCTACTTCACCACGCGGCCCTATCTCAAGATCCTGGACCGGGAGCTCGAGGCGAATCTACGCAGCGCCGAGATCCTCTACACGGTGGCGCTGAACGTGGCCAAGCAGTCGGCCCGCGACATCAAGCTCTACGAGACGTACTTCGAGAAGCTGGTGAAGGCTCGGCGCAATCTCGGCCTGTTCCAGCATCACGACGCCATCACCGGCACCTCCAAGGCCTCCGTCATGAAGGACTACGCGCTTAAGCTGTTCGAGTCGATATCCGACATGACGAGCCTGCAGAGCTTCACCATACAGTCGCTGGCCGCCACGGAGCTGAAGAACGCCAGCTCCGGCCAGATCTACGTGCTGTCCGAGTCGGATCGCGACAGCTACGAGAAGCTGCCCAAGAAGATCCCCATCAGCATCAACAACAAGGAGACGAAGCGCATCGTGCTGTTCAACTCGCTGGCTCAGCCGCGACAGGAGGTCGTCAGCCTCAAGGTCAGCACTCACCGAGTGCGAGTGCTCGACTCGCAGAAGAATCCCATCCCGTATCAGATCGCCCCGCAGATGAACGCGACGAGCATCACGCACGACGTCTACGTGCTGCTGTTCGTGGCCGAGCTTAAGCCCCTGAGCATACAGGTCTATCATCTGCAGCAGATCGACAAGGTGCCGCCCGAGGCCATATCCACGGTCTACTGCACGCGCTGCGGCAAGGACCAGGTCTTCCCCATCAAGCCCATGCAGGTGGGCGACGTCCAGCTCGAGAATCAGCGCATGAAGCTGCTCTTCGACGGCCAGACAGGCTTCCTCAAGCGCGTCACCAAGAAGCCCAGCGGTAAGATCATCCAGTGCAATATCCAGTTCGCCGCCTACCCGTCGGCCCAGTTCCACAGCGGCGCCTACCTCTTCATGCCCGATCCGAATCTGCGTGACTCCGACAAGGACGTGCTCGAGGCCTACACGCCCCATCAGAAGATCTACATCGTCTCGGGGGCGCTCAGCTCGCGTCTCACCGTCGAGTACGGCAAGCTGCTGGCGCATCACGTCGCCCTCTATCACAAGGAGGGCCCGCTGTCCGAGGCCATACACCTGCGCAGCGTCGTGGACTTCGAGGCGCCTCCGAAAAATCGCGAGACCGAGATGTTCATGCGCATCCAGACGGACATCGTGAACGGCGAGCCGCCCGTGTTCTACAGCGACGAGAACGGCCACCAGATGATCAAGCGCACCAAGATCGAGAGGATCGGCATCGAGGGCAATTACTATCCGATCACGTCGATGGCCTACATCGAGGACCAGGCCCAGCGACTGACCCTGCTGGTGAATCACGCGCACGGCGCGTCGAGCTATCAGCCGGGCTGGCTCGAGGTCATGCTCGACCGGCGCACCCTCTACGACGACGCCCGGGGCATGGGCGAGGGCCTGCTGGACAATCGCAAGACCGTGATGAAACACTGGCTGCTGCTGGAGGACGTCGTCGGCGATCAGGATCGCCTGTCCAAGCCGTCGCTCTTCGCCAATCACATGAGCAACGCCCTCAACTATCCGGCCAATCTGTTCGTCGTCGACAGCCCCGAGTCCGAGATCAAGCTGCAGCCGGAGACGAGGCTGCTGAGCCACAGTCTGCCCTGCGACGTGCACATGCTCAATCTGCGCACCAACCACGACCCCAAGATGTCGCAGTACCCGATCAACAACGCCCTCATGGTGCTGCACCGGCAGGGCTTCAGCTGCACGGTGGGCGCCGACATACCGATCAAGCACTGCCCGCTGTCCGACAGGCCCGCCGGTGACACGCGCTTCCTCAGGCTCAGCGAGCCCAACATCACCAAGACCTCGCTCACGGGCACCAAGGTCGAGAAATGGCTCAAGGCCGGCTTCCGCGACATCGCCATGCAGCCCATGGAGATCCAGACTTACAATGTTAATTTCGCTGTCAATCTGCACTGAGAGCGTCTACTCCTGGCGTCCGGCTGAATCGTTGATGATGGGACCTAATAACTGACTCTATATTCCATGTCAATGTGTTATCGTAAAAAATGGTAACCGACTACTTCATACCCTTGCTGTGTCTTTCGCGAGTGATTTACCCTGTTTGTATACAGAGGTAAATGAATTCGTTCGCTGAGTGTTTTTCAATTACATGTTTTGTGTTCCAATGATATTTGTTAAATTTTACTCAAACAAGACGATTATTTTACATTTTACCTGGGAATGCTCGAGGAAATCTCGAGTTATTTGAGTGAACTGAATGAAAATAAAAGAAAACTATAGTCAATTAAGGCTAAATATAAAAAAGAAAAATACGTTAAATGTTGAAGAAAATTTTAATACATCGGGTATTAAATGTAAAATGTATAGAATTAAATATATTCGTATAATGACGATAACAGTGATAAAAAAAAATACTATTTAGACTGATAATTGCAGCTATTTTAACGATAAAACCTGCCAAGTTAATATACTGTGAAAGAAGTACGAGCGTCATGCTGCCGAGTTTTATACCCTGCATATAGATCAGCAAGTAATTAAAATAAAAATAATATATTCATAATTCGCACCCGCTGGCATCGAAAATTGTTCGACGAGGTTTCAGCGAGACACTTGGCCTTTTATATCTATGAGATTCGAATTTTGTGTGTGCGTTGTGTGTGTCGTCGTCATTGAGTCACGCGAGGCATATGCGAATTTAGTCTGCCTAATATAGACAATTAAGAAAAAATACGTGCGCAAGCTGTGAAATTTTCGATAGTGCAATGGGTTGTATACCAATTGCGCGTAAGTGCGATAATATGGTTACCATCGTTCAATAAGTAATTTTAAATCATGCGACACCAAAAGAATATTTCTCGGAACGCGCTGTGATTTATTATTATACTCTTTACAAGTCAAAACGTGTATGAAATTGCGTCCTACAATGATCTTGGATGTTTTTTTCAGAACTTTTTATTAAGAATTACTTGTATAGATGAATTTTAAATATATAAAAATTGTCAACTGAATCAATAGATGAGACTGTTTCAGACTCATCAATCATAGGATATTATTACTTTAAAAAAACCTTATATTCGGAAAACATAGATAGTAATTTATTAGACGATACGAATACTTATCACTGTAGATAAAATAGACAAAAAGTGTAATGAAAGATACAACAAAGTATTTATATGTATGGCGTGAATTAATATTTATGATTGTACATATCAGTTGGGTTTTAATGTAAAAAAGTGGAAAAATGTCTATTCAAAATATTTTATAACATAATGGACGAAAATTGTATAAATCTTGCCTATTTTCATATTCAAAGTAAACTTTACATCTTAAAAAATTATTTAAATTTTAATGATGGAAGTTAAAAGTATAATGGATTATGAGAATGATTTTAGTAAAAAATCTTTAACTGATGTCTGGAAGTTATTAAAAATTATCTTTATATTAATTTTATTATAGCAAATTGTTACTGTAGAAAATAACAGATCTGATAGTTCAACTTATTTCGTTAAATAGATAAAAGTTGTAAATAAAAAACTCATGTGCATCTACGTAAACTGCATTATAAACTCCGTGAGAAGCTTTAAATCGTTTAATGGGGTTGCATCAGCATGAATGGCAAAACTCTACGGGAACACATCCTCTTTCATTGACAATATCTTGTATTTAAAAGCATGTACTGCAATTTAGCTTTTTAAAAGAGAAGAAAACTTGTTTGCGAAAGGAATCCTAATAGATTTTATAGTTCATGCTTTTAAAACAAAAAGTAATGATTATCATCGTGTAGTCATTATAAATAGTAATAATTAGTTACATATTTCTAATTGCTCGGATGAAACAAATTGGGTACCTAAATCCAAAAAATTAAAGAAAAAGCTGCTTCCAATTTATTATAATTTAACGTGTATTTTAAATCGACAAAAAATTACTTTTTTTCTAATGTAATATTTAAAAGTAATTTCAGAAATGTTTGTTATCGTTTGTTTGAAAGAAAGTGTTATAATTAAAATTAAAATTTGTTGACAAACGAAAATTAATTTCAGAACTTTGTCTTTTGTTATCAAAAAATAAAAATTAATCAGTTCTACAGTTAAGCTTTTAGTATTGTAAATATACTAAAAATGTTCTGATACGTCGAAAGTTTGTAAACATGTAAAATACTAATAATATAACATAATAGTGTTATAAAAAATGCAAAAGTATCTTCGAAAGAAAAGAAAAGTATTATGTAATACCGTAAAATATAAATAAGTAACTTATCTTCTAGAAAGTTATGTTGGAAAGAAGATCAGTTTTTCTTCTTGTATTTTTATGTTATGGATTTTGTGTGTGTGGTTGAATAGAGAATGCTGCGGGCGTCATTAAAAAAGTAACACTCGAACAAGTTTCTGTGAGGCACCTGCGTCAAGTACGTGAGTCGCTTCTTTCCCAATTATTATTACTTCTGACTTCCGATATTGTTCGAGTACGTCGAACGAAAAAAAAATCAATGATAATCCGCAACGTTATTATACCAACAATGTAATATTATATTTATTAAATAAAATACTTAGTTCGTCGTACTTTTCATCATTGCATTGCTATACTTATTACTCTTTCCTCTTCTTTGAACCTTGAATACCTAGGACGAGACAGATACAATTCATAAATCCAAGGTTTTATGAATAATAATAACAAAATTTAATTAAAATAAAAAATTATTTATTTACATATGCTTGAGAAACGATATATAATACATAAAATTTACAATAAAAATGGAAAAAGTTTGCATTTATAATATCTATAACAAAAGATTGAACAGATAAATATCACTCTCTTTGAAATCGTAAAACATATAAATGCTCTCCTCTTATTTTTCTTTCAGCAATAATTGAACCTTTCATGCTCCAAGTTTTAAAAAGTTCAATTATACTTTCAGGCTCATTTTCTTTTATAACAAGTAAATAAAATAAACCTTCTGAAGACAAAAATTGTGTTATAAATGGGAATACTTTATCCATAACTTGACGTCCCATTATACCACCAGCCCAGGTCTTACTAATGAGTTTCTCATCTTGGACTTCGATTGGTTCAGTAACCACATATGGTGGATTAAATATAATAATATCAAATACATTGCGAGAATGCAAATTATTAAGCAAATCCATTTGAACAACATCAACATCCACCTTGTTTAACATAGATGTCTTTTTTGTTGCTCTACAAGCAATAGGATTAATGTCAATACCAACAAAGTAAGATGAGCAAAACTTTTCTAAAGCCATAGCAAGAGCAGATAAAACCACACCAGATCCAATACCAATTTCCAGGCACATGGAAGGTTTTTTATTTTTCAACTGATCATTTAAATCAGTTTCTAAGGCATCTATAAGCAAAAATGAATCTTCCGATGGTTCATACACATTATCAAGCTCAATATCTGTTAGTTTTACAATAGGCGTTTCCATGATCAATTTTTATAATTGAGGAATGAATAACCATCCAATAATTGTGATAAATCTTATAAAAACTTATTAGGTTCTATCAGGAGTGCTGGAAGATGCTGGGAATGTTTCGTCACTTTCTGGTTTTATAGTAGAAGTATGATACATTGAACTGCGATCCAGTAAAGATTTTTGTTTATTCTTTTGCCTTTCCACAGCTTCATGAATTTTATTCAAACGCTCTTGCGTTTTTTGAAGAATATTGCTGACAACAACAACTTTTCGTTTTGCATTCACTAATTTTGTTACATATGCATCTAGTTCCAATGGACAATGAAGGGACTCATTGATCTTTAGAAGTTCATCAGTCAGAGAATCTATTTGTTGCCTGAGTTCTATTTGACTGATCCTGAAAAGTAGTCTGTATTAGAATCTTGCTTGACAATTTTCGTACTATAAATATTATCACATTGGTTGAAAGGCATTAAATCATCAAATACTTGAGAAAAATATTAAAACAATAAATATTATGTCAAGCTATTTCTAATAAAAAGGTGAAAATTATTCACCTTGTAGCTCGCACTCGTTCATCGAGTTGATCTACGGTTGGTTTAAGCAAACTCATAATCCCTTCCGTAAGAGCATCTCTCGTAGGATTTTCGCAATAATCCTCGGTCTTATCGTCTAACGACGTATTATCACTAGCAGTATCAACTTCCATTTTTTCAAGATGTTTGCAAATAAATGACTAACCTCTAATACAAATGCAGTTGCAGACCGCAATGTTTGGATTTTCACTGACAATCATTATCATTATTATTATGATTGTTTACTCACTGAAGCTATTGCAGCGCCACGCTCATTTTTATCCAACAATGATCAAAGATGTTTGCCGGTAAAAAAGAAATGGTTAGATAAAAAATTATGCGAAGTTTTTAATTAATTTTTCAATGGTTTTTGTAAATTATTTAACATACCAATACATACTATTTAAAGGTAAACCTTATACTGCTACAATTTAAACTTTCAATATAAGTTTTTAAAATTCATCACAGATGGCAATAGCATTTCTGTCGACGCGCAGAGTTATAATATCATTGAGATTTTTATTACAAGTAAAAGAAATTAAATAATTCGATAAAGACTATGTTTTCAAAGAGAAATTGAGTACTTGGCTTCATTTTTATAGAAGAAAATTTTTTATAGTAAAAAGCATTTGAAATTTTCAACTAAAATTGTCCATGACATAAAAATAACATGTTTACAATCTCAGTATGAAAATATTTCTTCATTTCATATAGTAAATTTAACATGTCACGACTAAAATATATCAATAATTTAAGACAATGTTAAAATATCATTTACAAGAAAAGAATATAAGCAATATTCATAAAAATAATAGATCTGTAGAGAATAAGTTCAATCTTAACACTATCTTAAGAGCATCTACTTTCGGATCATCGTAAGTTCATTTCTTAGAAGATGGTGAAACTTTATTTTTATCGTAGCGAAAAGGAGTCAAGAAAATTAGATTTTTTTCCAGTCGCATGATAGTTACTTTTTATGTGCGAAATAATACGGTGGTATAATATCAACGACAATACCAAAATCTATATGGCAGAATCGCAAAGGGTGTCGGATAAAATATAGACGAAGAAAAACCTACGTACGCAGCAAAATGTAGGATAGAATAGTTTAGTCGAGTAGCGTCTAGTGCAACCCTCCGCTCGGCAGCTCAGGCGTCGTCGTCGTCGTCGTCGTCGCCGTCACGACTTCGACAAGAATTTCATCCCTCTTGTCGACTCGTTTTCTCTCTCTTTTTTTTATTTCATCGTCGGAGTTCATAGCGCTGCTCTCTCTCGTCTTTATTCTTTTTCGCTTACGTATATACACACGCGCTTCCCTTGCGAGCTGTTGCTGCTATTGAAGATGTCTGGCCTTGTTCACGCACACAGCACACAAAACTTTGTAATGAGCGAGGCAGTCAAGACTCTAACATAGGAGAGTAGGTTCTGATGCCATGTTTGCAAATCATTAGACCGACGAGGCTAAAAGCTCGAACAGCCGACATTTTATACTACGCGTCACGAACTTCACTACATGTATACGCGCACCAATGGAACGAAGAATAAATTAAAAATAAATCTTATTCTTTCTTTGAGCCCTTTTTGTTGAGAGTAATTAATTCCAAGATGACTCCTAGAAAAAAAAAACTATGCTTCTACGCGATGAATAATTGTTAACTAACATATTTTACTTTTGAAATAAACAACCCCCAACAGGACAAGAATCGTAAGACGATCATACAACCGAATAATATTGCTTCGGTAATACAACTTTTATGCAGCGGCAGCTGTGCCGTGTGGTGGTGTCGGTTCGAGCGTGTGCGTGGCTGCGGCTGCGGCTACGGTAGCACAAATGAGAAAAGAACTAAGGGTTGCTTCTCGGCAGCTATACGACATATGAAAGTGTAAGCGAAAAGGACAATTCTGAGTGATTGTGGCTGCGACGGTCTTGACACGCCCGGAAATCTAGTCTATATTACACCCGCGCAACCACCGCACGCGGAGAGACATTTAAGGAAACAAAATATTTTTTATCTTTCCTTTTGCTATTGAAAATATTAATTCGTCTTTTGATGTTTCATCGCGCGTGTGGTTTTTTAAACATTGTGCGAGCTTGATCGACGTGCTAACTCGCAAAATACTTGCAGCTAGATGTGGCGAGCTTCATTACGGAAGTTTCCCGTGAATTTTAATTTTTTCATCAGTCAAAACGTAAACAAAAACAGAGAGTTGAGGTATGTGATTCTCTGATACGAGACTCGTCAATTGGTTGATTCTTTGCTAATAGCGATCACAAAATCTTATCTTAAATACGCGTTAAATTGAAATACGATTAAATACAACATTTTACGAGTATGGTGCGCAGAGTACTTGACTCGATAAATGATCAATTTTCGTACGATTTTTATGTTTATTTATATATTTGGTCGATTTACGATATTATCACGAATGAGTTGTGATATGAATTCCGACGCTACACCGAAATTAAATTGTTTATAATTTATACGATCTGCACCTACTTTTGAGGTGACAAACCGGAATAATTTGCTAATTTATAATCCTTATATGCTGGGTAATATTCAGTCACCTGCATATGAAATCATGCAAAGATCTCGCATTAATGATTATTTGATCTACATACTTAAAGTCTTACATTTTTTGTTTGTGGTTGTTTTTGTTGTGTTTTGTTTTGTTTTGTTTCGTTTTGTTTCGTTTTGTTTTGATTCTACTCTGAGTTGTTATGTGTTCGAAAATAACATAAAATTAGACCAAGTCCGAGGTGCGACGAAATTTCGAAAACCCAAATTCTTTTTTATCTTGATTTCTCTTCTCTGTCTCTATTATCACGGGGCGTCGTCGCACCCGATCGTATGAAATTCCGGCGCAACGTCACTTCGTCTCGAGTTTGCCTTGCTTTTGATTTATCCTCCTCTTTTGCATCCCCCATCTTTTTTTTCGTTTGCCCTCTCACTCTCTCTTTATTTTCTCTAAATCTTTCTGTGTCTTTGTGATATGCAACGGCTGCTGCTGCTGCCGGTTGGAAGTTGCGCGCGATTCAGGCCTCTGGCATCGCAGAATGACAAGAGCTAACACAACGCCGAGGACAGGTGCTACTGACGCCTTTGATCTTTTCCACTCGGTTACATGCCCACACATACACATACACACACCCACGCGAGTATAATAAACGAAGATATATACAGCGCACATATACATGCAGGTGAAGGGAGAGGCTTGTTTTGATAGGCGAAACCACGCAACTGACAGCTCCAAATTATAATGTCGCAAAATTCGTCGATATACTTTCCTATTCTGTGCAGTCTTCGGTAGGCATTTGAAATTTCGATTATATATTGCGTTGCTGTGCTGCACGCGATGCGCCGTTTGATGTTATAAACACGTCACGATACAATAATTAAATGCTTGGCACATATAGGTATTAAACTCTTCCTCCTCGCCCGCGCCCGAGCAGAAAATACCAAATTTATATAAAGTATAATCCTGCTCGAAATTTATGGTATTATATAATTGGTCGTTTTCGATTGTGTCGATGATTGTTTTGCATTTCGCATTTATGTACTATAGTGGCAACGTTTGTTTCAAAATGCTAAGCGAACAGTTTAAATGATTATTTAAAATCGAGAGACTTAACGTGATATCATAAAGTAACAATCGATGAGACATAATAATCCTTTTATAAATCGTAGAAATTATAACATTGCACGAGTAATACATCACACATTATCTCTTATATAGCGTGTGGTATTTATTTAAATCTGTTACAAAAATGTATAAGTCGATAAATATTGCAAAAAATGAATAAATAGTGCATTTTAAGAGCATCTTGTATAGTAAAAAAATTATAATCATGACTCTACAAATTATCTGTCGTAAAAAAATGCAACCCAAACTGTTAAAAATATATAATGCCAATTTATTTTTCATCAAAACCCCAAAAGCCAAAGAGAATTTTCACTTCAAAACCTCTCCATTAAAGAATCTGGATGTCTTTTAAGTATTAGAACATATTTTCCACCGAATTACTAAAATTGACAATAAGTTTCTTGAATAAAATAAGAAATGCATGGATATTATAAGTAAGAAATCGTGGTTATGAACAGACTTATACCTTCCTTGGAACTTGAATTTAATTTAAAATTTTCACATTCATCACTTGAAATTTTTATCGTTGACACAAAAAAATGAGAAAGACTGTGAAGCCAAGGTAAAAACGATTTCAAAACTCTCAGCATTAATTAATGTGTAAATAGGATGTAATTGTAATAGCATGAAAAATAGCATCCGATGTGAGCTTCACGCACGACTTTCAACTTCAATACATACGATTTAGAGGCAGAAATAAAAGTTATTCGTAGCCGTTAAAGTTCCGTAAGCGACTATAAAAAAAGCCATTAAGCAATGATTTACCACGAGTTTCGCTTATTTGAATCCTCTCTCGCATTGTTTTTCCGCGATTTCATTCGCACAGAATGAAAAGTTGAACTCTTGACAAGGCGAGACTGCGGAACTTGGATGGGGGTCTAATAAATTACCCGAATGGAAAGTACAATTGCGCTCTCGATCATCGTTGTAATATCATCGAGAAAACACTACTCGCAAATGAACCCGAGCCCGAGCTAACTCTTGTAACGGATCCTTCGAGGCACCCACCGACGCACACGTACAATATATATTGGCAAGTGTATCGTACGAAGGCTACTTTTGATGTCGATCACGCGTCTGGCTCCGCTTTTAATTCACTCGACGATGATCGTCGTCGTCGTCGTCGTCGGACCTGCACCACCACCACCACCACCGTCGCACGAGAAGACAGTTCGATTCCCGCTCACGCGTCCCTATCATGTGTGTATAATATACATGCGACGTGGCTATATTATATACTTACATTAGGTCCAATAGCAATATGGGAAAGATCAGAGGACGACTGCTACTACTACTATGGTATATGTGCCTAGGTTGCTGCCACAGCAGATCGTTCCCAATGGACTCGGCATTAAAGATAAAACGTCGCGCGCTTGTCTCTGTTACTGCGTATACTGCTGTTGACGACAAATCGAGGGTTAAAAGACTATCGGTAAACAGAGCCTCGCTATATACATATACACGCATAGCGCGCACACGTCCGACATGGAACATCTCTCCTGAGCAGTCGGATTATAGCCCTAATTTGGACGTTCGCGCGGTGTAAAAGGGCGTCGAGGCGCACGCGAGCGTTTC